CAGATTAGCCTTGCCTGCAAATATGTCAGATATACACGATATGTTTTACATTTAAATGTTAAAGAAATATGTTTCAAATTCAGAGTAGAGAATTTCACATGAAGATATTGAAGTATAGAAAATCTAGCATATATTGTAAAGCCTGAAAAATTTTTTATAAATGATTTTAAGAAACTCAGAAACTGACTAATTCCCTTTGTGAAAATAAAGGGGAAGTACAGGCCTAAAAAGTAAGCGACAAAAAAAAGAAGAAATGCTACAAAAATATCCCTTCCTATCCAAGCAGTCAAAAATTTTTAGGACGAAATTTTAATAAGGGAGAGCAGTAAGGCTCAAATTTCAAGAAATTGGTAAAATTTAGCAAAATTGAAAAGAACCCCAAATTTTTAATCACCCTGAGTTCAACTGAAATAATGTTATTAAATTCTATGCATGAAATCAATTAATTTTATATAAAGCACCATGCATGAATTGTAAACGGATTGGAAAACATGTAATTTTGAAGTTATAAGTATAATTATCTTAATTATATTTGCTAATCTCCTTAGTCTCCCATAGCCTTACTGTTCCCCATCACCTCACGCCATTTTATTCATTGGATGCATCGTATTTCCTTCAAAGCCGTTATTCTTCCCCTCTCATGAATTCCTGCTCCATTACTTAGTTTCACTTACGTGATAACTTCCTCGCTCGTCTGGAGGTGTTCCCGCAAGCTCCTATGTGATCAGGCACCATAGCAGGTTGCGAGCAGTAAGGGGCGAGCGGCCATCTGGGAATCGCAGAGCACGATCCAGGGTTCCAGAGCAAGTTCCTACAAGTACGAATCCTCTCTCACGTTATTTGAGACTTTCATTTCCTTCCTCACCCTTTTGATTTGATAATGCCTCGTTTTTCGTGCTTTTCGTAGCCGTCAAACGTGTCGATTTTGTCGAAAGTGTCGTAATTGATTTGCCAACTTCTGAAAATATTTTAGCACGAAATCAGTGATAAGGTTTGAGGCGATAGAAAGAAAAGAAAAAAGAAATAGATGTTTTCGGAAAAAACAAATTTATGCCAAGAAGCCCTTTTATGGTAAGTTTTGGCATTTAATGCTTGTTTTTGGGTTAATCATGATGTGAGATCAAATTTTATGAGTTCCTATGATGCTTATGAATTCACAGGTTGTCTATACGAGGCGGAGAGCTCGAGACAAGCATGTGGGCACTCAGTCAAGTCAGGTAAAATAATCTTTTACTAATTAAAGAAAAATAATCTTTTATAGGTTTTCCTATGATTTCTATGTTGGCACAGATGCATTTAAAATTTCTGCATATTGTGAATGAATAACTACAATTGAATGTATGGCTGTACATTTACTTTTTATACGATACATGTAATGTCATGCTTGGACTATGCTTATGATATAAATTTCTCGTAAGTATTCAATTATTATGCTTCATGTCCATGATATATATAATGTCCTACAAATGCTTGATATAAGAATAGTGATTCAAATGACACAATGAATGTATGGGTAGACAATTACATAAGTGTTTGCAAGTACATTATGCATGGATGCGATATTCTCGACTCCTAATATTTATACGAGGACAAAACTTTGGGAACCATTGGGATTAGGCAGTAACAGAACATTAGAGAATCGTGAGTATCAGGGGGATCAACGATAACTGCTACGTTCGGAGAAGTCCAACCTTTATCGGTAGTTTATATAGTCTTTAGGGCAGGGTGATGACTCATGATTAAAGAACATGGAAATAGTTGAGCTCTATACATTAAACAAGTGATATTACTATGAAACAACACTTATGAAGTGACATTATTATGATTACATACAATAAACAGCCTATGAACATGCTTATGAACATAGTTTTGATTATACTTAAAAATTCATGTTTACTACATACATGATACACTGCAGTCTTGATTTTGATTATACTTAAGAATTTAAGTTCTAGCCTACTCGCCTTTGGCCGATATTATCTCGTCGACACAGCGATTAGTGATCTAATCATGACAAATATTTGAGGTGGTAGAAAAAATCTACGTGCACGGGTACACTCGCGTCATCTATCTGTACCATTAGAATGTGAACTCTTCTAAACATGCACGTATAAGCATACATATATAAGTTATTTCATTTTTCATAACATATATTCTGAAACATCTTAATGCATCTACTAACATGCATATTTACTCTGTTGTACAACTAATCATTATTCATATCATGCATATATCTCATATCATTCATGTCTCTTATCTCATGCATATCTCTTATATCATTTATATTTCTATCTCATGCATATCTACCATATTATGTCTATATTGCATATCATATTTATCAAGCATATCATGCATCTCATGCATATCCTGTATATCTTTTTTATCATATATATCTTTCCTATTTAATAATATGAAAATTTTAATTAAACTAGAACATAACTGGAGTGAGACATATATTTTGAAATAAAAGATAGTGCTGAATTTTAAAAATATAATTAATTACTTTAATTATTAAGCTAGATTCTTAATCTTTGGTAGCTAGTTGAACATTGTAATAACTTTTATATGGATAATAATAACCTGAATTTAAGGAGTCGACCTACGACTAACTTCTACATGCTTGCCTCGAACTCGCCGCCTCTAGTAAACAACCTGGAATCTATAAAAAAACTTCAAATTTCAAGATATCTTCCTATCTAATAATATGAAAAATTTAATTAAACTAGAACATAATTAGAGTGAAACATATATTTTGAAATAAAAGATATAACTGAATTTTAAAAATATAATTAATCACTTTAATTGTCATGCTAGATTCTTAATCTGTGGTAACTAGCTGAACGTTACGATAACTTTTATATGGATAATAATAACATGAATTTACGGAGTCGGCCTAAGACTAACTTCCACATGCTTGCTCGAACTCGCCGCCACGGGTAAAAAACCTGAAATCTATTAAAAAAATTTCAGATTTCAAGATATCATGGCTCATAAGATAATTTACCTAAACTTCTACATGCTTGCCTCGAACTCGCCATCACGGGTAAACAACCTGAAATCTATAAAAAAAAATTCAGATTTCGAGACATCTTGGCTCATAACATAATTTACCTAAAAACATAACTGAATAGCTTAAATGCACCTTAAACGGCTTTCACGATAACATGTCCTTCTCCAAAGTTGTCAAAACTCTTTTTCCCTCTTTTCCTATATTTAGTTACACCTCCCTTAACCTTGTTGATTTCATGCTAGAAATCTTTATGAAAACCCACAAACCAACTTATTCGGTTCTAACACAACCACGTCTGTGTTACTGTGACCGGAAACAAAAAGACACGATTCATGAAAAATCTCAAAATGAAAACGTCAAGAAGAAAATGAATGTCTAGAAAATCACTAAAGTGAGTTTCACACTTACCAATTTCGTCCCAAAACTCGGATTTGTGGCTTGCGGCTCTCGGTCGTGTGCGTGGCCTTCTTTGTTCGCGCTCTACATCACGAACTGTGCTACAGTAGCTAGGCGAAGCATTACGGGAGACGAATGTTAGTAGAGGGGATAGAAGGCGCGACACTCTACCTCTCGCGCTGCTTCACTGTGACCGCGACTCTGCTATTGGAGCAGATTACAGGAGTTTCTGTTGGGCGCGATTGAACGATAAGGGAGGGGTGTGCGAGCAAAACTGCGAGGGGGAAAGAGGGATTGAAGGCTCTAGAATGAGGATTTCCCTATTCGATGCATACATGGGGTTAAAATCATGACGTAAGTCAGTTGGGAACAGTAATCTGGAGTAGGGAGGGGTAATTAAAGGTTAATTAAAATTAATTAACTCATAAATTTTTATATTTATATCTTCCAATCTATTCATAATTTAGTATTATATATCGAATTGATCTATTTGACGAGTAAAGTTTTATAAAATTGCTTTGGTTGTAATCTAAGAGATGCAAAATTTAGGGTTCATTTTAAGTCGTCAAAAATTTTTACCCAATTTTGCAAAACTAGTTATTACATTGTCTTAAAAATCTATAAAGGGATCTGGATTTAGAAATTGTTAAGGGAACTGTGATGTTCTTTCCATAGGCTTATACAAATATTCTGTAACAGTCAAGCAGCTATCAGTATTGCCAAGAATCATGTGCATTATGACAAAACCAAAGATATTGAAGTTGCTAGAAATTTCATCTCTGAAAAAAATCATTGGGGGAGTTATATAACTAGGCTACAACCCAACACACCAACAAATTATTGATGTATTAACCAAGGCTAATCCTTTCAGCACCTTCTCAGAATTCAACACCAAGCTCGATCTCTACAACATCTACGCCCCAACTTCAGGGTGAGTGTAGAAATCTAAGAAAAATTTGTCCTTTCCATGTTTACATCTCTCGTGTAGGCTGGCTACCACCTCCAAATCTTAGAGGATTTGATTGGTATATTCCCTTCCTTTCATGTTTTTTTATTTTTTATTTAGAATTATTTTCTTTCCTATTTTAAGATATATATATTTGGTATGTTTGTAAATAAGGAAGGATTGATTTTCCTATAAATATGTACCCTATTTGTGAATAATGAATTAAACAATTTTCCTCCAAAGTAAATTCTACATGAACCATTATATCAGAGGCCTGTTTGCAATTGGTTCTGCAATTTTTTGTTAACATGATAGATAAACTCGTCTATCCTAATACTAGAATGCATATCGATCGTTTTAAATGATGGTTGTAAGATATGCCATTAATAGAGAATAAAATAATTGATATTCAACATTTCAATTCCAATTAACTCCAAAAAATTGGTTCCTGATTGCAATCTGATTTAGGATTTCAAATAACCGTGTAAATTGCAATCTAACAAAAAAACATGCCCATTACATAAAAATGTTAGTCCAGTTACATTTCAATTCCAATTAACTCCTAAAAACCTGATTGCAATTTACTCCAATACTAAAAGTGGAACTTCTCTGAGATAAAAGTCCATATTACGAAAATAATTTTTTCACCTTTTTTATTGGGGCTAAATGTAGGAGTTCAGTCACAGAAGAAATCATCCCTTGAACGCTAAGCATAGGTACTGCCAACCCAAAATCAAGGTAAACCTGTTCATGAAGATATTAGCAGATTGACACTTTTAAAGTTATCAAAACGCACATAAACATCAAACCTGGGGATAAACAGAAGCAAGATACGATGCTTCCTTTGAATATGGATAGGCTGCATGCAAGAGAACAATCCTACACTTAGAAAATCTCTTCTCCTCCAGGACAGCGCGTAGATGAAGAGGGTTGCACTGCCTTAAATCCAAGTCTGTATCGCCAAAACTGAAATTTCAAAACAAACACAGTACTAATTTGTCCAGTTTGCAGCCCATGCATATGCAAAACATGAGGCTCGAATTGACAATTTTCTTTTCCCACATAAAACAAGAACAAATTAGGCCTGCATAAACATAAACTAAAAACGAGAAACATCTTCAATGATCTAAAAATAGAAAGGCATCTCAAGTGAACATAAAATTGCTGAATATGCAGGCTTCATAAGAACTTAAAAACAATCTAAGCAGGACAACAGGTCTGTTTAGGACAGTTGCAGTTGTGAAACTGCTGTAGAAGAAATTGTTGTGAAGTTATTGCCAAGAGAAGCTGAAGCTGAAGCAATATGTCTGTTTGGATAGGTGAGCTATGAAATTGTTGTACTGCAATAGTTTCTGAAATAAAGACGATAATGCACTTGCAGAATACAATTGTAAGTGCATAGTTTTAGAAACAATTGAAACATACTATAACTAAATTTCAAAATATTACAAAAAAGTCAAAGTCTAAAATATTATATTAAAAGTTACACATCAATTAAACACAATATTGAAATTAAAATAACAAGTAATATTATTGAAACATTAGGTTATAAGATTTCGAAAAGAGGAGACTACACACAAAATTTGAAAAAGCCAATTCAGCATAACCTAATCATAATTCCAAAAAACAACATATATAAATGGAAAGAAAGGAAGAATTTCCTATCATAACAAAGGAATTACAAATAAATAAGCAGAACTTTTTGTCATAAAGCCCTTAATATCAAAATCACACATATCATAAAGCATAATTGTAGTAAGGCCAGCCAGAAGAATCCCTTGGGTCATGAATCATCATAGACCACTTAAAAAAAATAAATCCACGATTGCCTAAGAAACCATCCAAGTGGGAGAAAACTAAAAATGTTCATAACAATGAAAAAAAGTCAGAAAACATACCCACGATTGATAGTAGGGATCCAAGTGGGAGCAAACTCAACATATTCATACATGTATTTCCACAACAAACACTTGTTCATAGTTCAATAATCTACTCATATACGTATAGCATCACACATACATATATTTATATATAATAACCTCATTTATACATATTTTGTAAGAATAATCTTCAGTCAAATATCAGGATGAGATTCAAAATAAAAGAATTGCACCTAATTAATTTTGTTTCAAAAGAAATCACATGCTCATTACATTTTAAAGCACTTATTACATTAAACCCCTGTCTGCATATAAAATGTGAATAGATTTCTACTCAAAGCACTCATCCAGTGAATCAGAGATATAACCTCTATTAAATAAATGGTCAATTAAATAAAAGAAAGAAAACAAAATCATCATAAAACTATTACAGTTTCTTTAAATTCGTTGCACATGAACAATTGTAACATTCAAATATTAAAATATTTAGGGCCCGAATCATAGAAAGAAATATTCATATTATCCATAAAATAAAACACTTACCTTTTTGTCGGCGATAAAAAGTGGAGTTGGGGGAGTTGCCCGTAAGAAGTTGTCGGTCACCGGAATC